TAATATTATAATTTACGAAATTTGCTTAGTGCATGAAAAATCAAGAAATTAAATAAGGACATAGTTGACAAAAAACAAAAAATTTAAGGATAAAATTGCAAACCAAATGAGGTATATTGGGCCTATAGCTAAATATGTAAGGGCAAAATTAGTATTCAAATGCTTCTCTTTAATACCTCATTTTTACATATTGTAGATAGATAGATAGATAACGCAGATTTCTCACACTACACTCTTTTATTGCAATTTATTGTCTTCTGAATTCCTTAACAATGGCTGGAGATATTCTGGTTCCACTTAGTCATTTAAGATTTCTTATACATAGTAACCATAATAGACATGTTTTATTCAATTAATCAATGAAAAGCAAAAGGCTGTAATCTGGTGGCAATGGCAAGCTGGAATTCTAATATGAACAAGATTACAACATTTAGTATAGCCTTAATCAGTAAGCTGTAATGCTTCGGGCAGTGACTTACCAGTATCCTTCCATGGTTGACAATATAACTCACCATCTACACAATGTAAACACGGGCCCTTCGGCGTTACGGACCAGAGACAATAATCCCCACACTTGTGGTACATTCTGTTTGTGAAAACGCCATAAGTGCCAAAACCATAAAATGTTTGAAAGAAGCAGTAAAACTTTGTGGTTCCAAAAATGTTTATATTGAATTGTATTGTGAAAGTTTGGTTGGATCCAAGCATATGATACCCAAGATCATCATCCACGGAAAAACAGTGAATCCAACTTCTTCCACCAGGTATATCATTTTGAATTACAACAGTTACTTTTGCTTCAGATCGGCTAATTAGGGTTGTGAATAACAACCCAAGCAATACTACAAGTTTCATAATGAATCAACCGTTCTCTTTTCCTGGTTCTTTTTTAGTGTGAATTTTTTCTTCTCCTCAATGTGTCTTTATAGTTTAATTGAAGTTGCGGTAATCTAAAAGCAATTGCATTAATCATTTGGTTTAAATTTTTATAATAATAGTTCTAAAAATCTTAATGAGTAATTCTATAGAATAATGTTATTTATCATCACGATGATGGAATATCGACGATGTGACAATTTATTATCTCTCATATTTCTCTCTCTCTCTCTCTCTGCTCCCCTCTCTCATAAAAATTAAAATGTACAATCACATTATTCCACAAAAATTGTCATATCATCGATGTTCCATCATCACAATGATAAATAACATTATTCAATTCTATATCTGACAACACTATTAAATTTACATACACATAATACTTCACTCAACACTGGCAAAAAATAAAGTTTAGATATGTACAATCAAATTTTTGATTCTTTGAGATTTTTTCCACGTTATGAATAACTATTTAATATTTAGATAATCTTTAAAGAGCAATCCTAAATCTGACCAATATTCACTGAATTTCACACGTTACATGCATATAATACTTAACTCACAACTGACTACAAAACTAAGTTTAGATAATCAAATTCTAGATTCTTGAGCTTTTTTCCAGATTATGGATCAACATACGTAATTTATTTCGTGAATTGTTTATACTTCCGATGTACAAAAGAATGAACAAAGATTTAGACTTGCAGAACGTTAGAAACGTCATACAACTTGGCAACAGATTATTGGAGTGATAAGATTGTCAAATCTAAACCAAAGGATAAATACAAAATTGTTAATTTGTTAATTGATTGTTGTTATCTATATTTTGGATAAGCACTAGCTATAGAGAGTTGTTGAACCTATTTTATTATAAATAGGAATAAATATGTGCTAATTGTTCGTGGCCTATGGTCATCAACCAATAATGTTTTAATTAAGTCTTTTATTCATTTTTAAAATCCATTTCATATTTTCTTCTTGGTATAGAGCCATTGTGAGCACTCGGCATGCCACAAGTCTTCTTTTCCATTATCACTTAGCCATTCGTAAATGTTGACAACTTCTTTACACTCATCTCTCATTAATTTTCGTTCATCAAATACATCCCACAAAATCCAAACAAAATACAAACAGGAAATTTCATACCAAAATTGACAAATGTGTTCAAGAACACGTTAATCATTTCATCAATGAAAACATTTTTCCCACCAAATACATTACATCAAATCCAAACGATACAAAAACAAAAAGGAAATTCACTCCAAAATTAACAAATGAACTCATTGCCCGGTGAAAGTCCTCTCATTCATGGTTGGATCATCAAAATAGGCTTAGACACAATCCATGCAGTATGGGAAGCACTTGAAATGCTTATAT